CCCCGAACAGGCTGGGCCCAACCTGGGTGCCTGCCTTACGGGGGGACTGTGGCAGGGCCAGACCTTGCCGAGCGTGCAGCCACAGCCCCAGTCCGCTGTGCCATCTTTGACCCTGTGAGGGCAATGCCAGAGTGCCTAGGGAAGGGTGTAGGAATCACCCTGGTTGGGACTGAGAGAAATGGAGTGCAGGCAGCGCTGCCTGGGGAGCTGGCACAAGCTCCTCTCAGCCCCTCTCCCCTGCCTGGCTTTGCTTCTTTCCGGAAGACAGAAAGGCCCAAAGCCTCCTCGCTTGGTCACTTACAGAGAAGACACAGGGGTTGAGAGAAGCAAGCTAAGTGGCCCTGGGATCTGGTACCATTGCCCACATGTTCTATTTAGAATTCCGCTTGAGGCCATGCCTCCTTCTGGGTTCTGCCAACACAACAGAGTTTAGGGGATTGGGGCTCCTGCTCTCTGGGGAGGTAATGTGGCCTAGGGGTGAGAGCAACTTGGAGTTAAGAGTGCTCAGGTTCTATTCTGCTCCCACCCCTTCCTTGCCGGGGTCACCTGGGGCAGTTACTCGGTTTCTTCACCTGGAAGTGAAGGAGGGATAATGGTGGACTGGATAATGGTGTCTACTCCCCCGGCGTCTTGAGAGCTCTGCCAAGTCACTGAAGTCACTGAAGGCGCGGGGCCTGCCTCTGTCAGATAGTGTGCTAACGGCATTGTCAAGATCTGTCTTGCCTCATCCCGTGTGTTATCTCTAGACTGCAGACTCCCTGAGGACAGGACCTGTCCTCTGGCTGAAGGTGTGTGATGGATCATTGTCTCCCTCTCCCAGGGCTGGCCCTCCTAGGCTTCCTGGTACTGCTGCCGATGACCATGCCTTGGGGGCAGCTGGGCAAGGATGGCTGGCTGTGGGGCACACACTGTGTGGCCTGCCTGGCCCCGCCCACAGGCTCTGTGCTCTATCATCTCTTCATGTGCCACCAAGGGGGCAGCCCTGTGTATACTCGGCTCCTTGCCCTGGATATGTGTGGGGTCTGCCTTGTCAACACCCTCGGTGAGCTAAAGGACGGGGCGGGTAGGCTTGAAGGATGGGCACCGGCGGGGGGGGGGGAGGAGGCAGGGGACACTCACGGGAGCCCTGGGTAGAAAGGGCAGGCAGTCCCCCGGACTGACATGCCTTCTCCTGTATCTCTCCTCCGTGCAGGGGCTCTGCCCATCATCCACTGCACCCTGGCCTGTAGGCCCTGGCTGCGTCCAGCCGCCCTGGTGGGCTACACCGTGCTGTCGGGAGTGGCTGGCTGGCGGGCCCTCACAGCTCCCTCCACCGGCGCCCGGCTCCGCGCCTTCGGTTGGCAGGCTGCCGCCCGCCTCCTGGTGTTCGGGGCCCGAGGAGTGGGGCTGGGCTCTGGGGCTCCGGGCTCCCTGCCCTGCTACCTGCGTATGGACGCACTGGCACTGCTCGGGGGGCTGGTGAACGTGGCCCGCCTGCCGGAGCGCTGGGGACCCGGCCGCTTTGATTACTGGGGCAACTCGCACCAGATCATGCACCTGCTCAGCGTGGGCTCCATCCTCCAGCTGCACGCGGGCGTCGTGCCCGACCTGCTCTGGGCCGCCCGCCACGCCTGCCCCCCGGACTGAGCCACCTGGCGCCCACTACGCCGGCCTCTCTACGGTCTTCTAGGACCAAGAGTATGCTTCGCTCCTTCTGCTGGTGTGCAAGGGGCTGACTCCCCGGATGCTTCCAGCAAACGGGACTTGCCAGCTGGGAGCCTCATCTGTTTGTCCGTTCTTCCCTGTGGACGAGGACCAGCCTCTTCTACCCACACCTCGGAGCTCAGCTTCCCTTCCTTGCCTTCTTTCAGGGTACTGTGGAGGCTGGAAGGAAACCTTTCCTTCCCGGACCTCAGTTTATCTTCTGTGACCTATAAGGGTATGGCCAGAGGGACTCTGGGGTCACGTCTTGCTGTGACAGAATTCTACCGGCCCGGAGCTGTCATTCCACCCTGCCCCACACATAAGGTACCTCATGGGTGCCTTGCCTGGCCCTCAGCCCTATTTCCTGACCTGTGTCTGCTCTGCGTGCCAGCCCTCCCAGCAGCCTGAGGCTCACCTTCGCCTTCTCCTTTCTGTCCAGAGACTGTGGAGTGAGGGGTTTGGACCACAAGAGCAGCCTCTTATCCCAGGACCAAGGGGTAGGAGGGGGGCTGCAGCCGCTGCATCCGAGCACAGAGACATGACGACCTGGGTGGGCTGAGGGCCCACCCTCCACCCTGACTGCCATACTCTGATGGCTCGATCAACACGCTGGGGACGTGCCTGCTCAGGCAGTCTCTGCTCCACACAGAGCATGCTCGTAGCTCCAGTGTGCTGGCCTGGGGCCCTGCATCAGGGCTCAGCCACGGCCCATCCCAGGGCCGCAGACCCTGGGCAGCATCAGTAAATGGGGCAGGAAGAGCCGTTGCCACACAAGCAAGCTCGGGTGCTCCCAAGATTCAAATACCTTTTATTAGACATGGCAGGCAGAAGGAACCCCTGGAGTTGCCAGAGGGACCCCAGCCTCCAGGAGGAATGGGGAGGGGGTGGTGGCTAAAAGGTTAAAAACACCAAGGCTGGCCTGTGGGCTCACGCTGGGCCCAGTGAGTCCTCAAACAGGCTGAGGAGGTTCCGAGGTTCCAAGGAGGGGAAGGAGCCCCGAGGGGGCTCAGAGTCAATGTCACTTAGGTCCAGGGCCTCCCTGGGGTGGGGGGAAAAAGAGACAAATGACACTCAGGATCTGAAAGCCACCACCTCCCACCCGCTGGACTCTGGGCCTGCTCACCTCAGTGTGTACCTGCTCCGGGGGGCAGGGGAGCCACTGCGGGGGGTGGAGGTGTTCCCGACAGCCCTGGCCAGGACAGCCTCTGGAGAGAGCGAGAGCCTGCACAGGTGGGCCAGACAAGTAAGGTGTCGGGGGTAGGGAGTGCATGGGGAGGGGGCCACAGCAAGGTCAACCCTTGCCCTGTGCAGACCCCAGGCTCCTGACACGGGCAGGGGCCCCAGTCGGGAGCAGTGAGAGCATGGTGCCCTTTGAAAAAAGCACTTTCACAACTTTTAAAGGCCATCTGACCACTCAAAGGCCACCTCTGTTCCTTTTTAGAACATGTGGGTTTTGACAGCTGGCTGACAGATGAACTTCTGATAAAGGAAGCCTATCTGGTACCTCGTGTCTGCTATAAAGCGTCCCCATAGCGATGGGTGACATTTCCTTAAAAAGGGGTTAATGGCGTGATTCCTCCTGAGGACTGTGCCCCAAGCGGTTTCTTAATTACAGCCTCTCGCTTGGCCGCCAGGTACCTAGGACCAAGGAATTTCCCGGGGCTCGGGCTCCCCAGGCTCTGGGGACTGTGTTCCCGGAGAGGACGGACAGCACCTCACCTGTGGGCACCGCAGCCCTACCGTGGCGGCGGCCGTGGCCCTCGCGCTGCTCCCTCGTGAGGCAGCGCCCCAGGCGTGAGGTTGCCGGTTCTGCTCTGCTCTGCGTGGTCCCTGCACTGAGCTTGGAGGAGACCGCCGCATTCAAGCTGGGCCAGGCCGCACCCCCACCGGCCTTGGCTCCCTTCCCAGGGTATGATGGCGGGGGGTGGGGGGGGTGGGCGGGGGGCAGGCTTGGGGGAGGGGTCCTGTTCACCACGAATCCTCACGGGGCTGCGGCCTGGCCATGCTGACTGCCCCCCCCCCCCCCCCCCCCCCGCGTCCTCAGCTCTCACCCACCCTATGCTGTCGTCATCCCAGTTGCTGGAGAGGCTGCTGTCCAGGAGGAGGCTGCAGGGTGGCGAGCCGGGCGGGGTGGCTGGTGGGCTCTGGGGCTGCAGCCATCTGGCGGGGTGAGCCAGCCCGTGCCAGAGCCAGCACAGCAGGGCAAGCAGGGCCTGAGGGGACAGGGACCTGGGAGGCAGGGCAGGCCCCGGAGCCGGGGAGCGCGGCTGGGCACCCCGTCACGGTCACCCACCTTACCTGCCACAGGGCCCACCCTCGACTGAGGGCCTCGGCGGCCATATACCACAGAACGTTCCAAGGCTGAGGCTGCCTGAGCATGGGCAGGGCCAGCAGGGACTCGGCTGTGGCCCGCAGCTTGGGGTCAGGCTCCAGCATCATGGTGAGGACAGAACGCAGCTCAGAAGACAGGCCTGTGCACAGGGAGGGGCCGTGTCAGGGGTGACAGCTCTGAGCCCAGGGGCCCCAGACGTGAGCCCGGCCTCCCTGGGGCCGCACGTTCCTTCCCGTCCTTGCCCTCCACTTACCAGCAGTGAACTCCGGGGGCAGATAGCCCTGGCGCAGCTGCTGCCAGCCCTCCCCGCCATGGGGCAGCTCCATGTTGCATGCCACTTCCAGGATGGTGAGGCCCAGACTGGGAAGGGTGGGGGCAGTGACAGAAGAAGGGCAGGGTTGGCCCTGGGGCCCAGACCCCAGAGCTCCAGGCTGCCCAAGAAGAGGGTGGAGAAGGGCTGCTGTCTTCCACCACGAGCCGGGGAAGTGGGGAGGGAGGGGCTGGGGGTCCCGAAAAGGCCCATATTACGGAGCCCCCTCACCACCTGGTGAGTCCTCCTGGCACCCGTCCCTGGACAGGCACTGCGGGTGCTGACGTCACTACCGTCGTTCTGCCGCCAAGGCTGGATACGGCCGTTAGAGGCAGAGCGGCGGTCACCCCCCTGGACGACGGAACCCACTGCCCGGGCCAGCCCTAGCTTCCCCACTTGCTAAGTGGACTCTGTGCCAGTCCTCCGGCCCCACTGTGTCCGTCCCCTGTAAATGGAGCAATTGTCCCTGCTGTGAGGGGGAGGTGAGGAAACGGGGGATCCATGTAGAGTGGCCAGAGGGTCCGCTGCCCAGAGTCTGTCTCTGCAGAACCCCTCAAGTGCGGGACGGGCCTCCACCCCCTCCGGGCAGGACGTCCCGGCCCGAGGCCGAGTCTTCCTGACTTGGGGCTAGGGTGGTGTTTCCCTCCCTCTGCCGACTGCACATCATCCCCTGCCCCCCAACCCCGCCAAGAGCCTCCCGCCTCCCGGCCCTCACCTGAACACGTCCGCCGCTGTCCCATAGGAGCCCTGTAGCAGCTCAGGGGCCATGTAGCGGGGGTCTCCCTCCTGGGCCTCACCAGTTCCAGATGCGCCCAGCTCTACCAGCAGCCCAAAGTCACCCAGCTTGCAGCGGCCCCGGGGCCCCAGGAAGATGTTGGCGGGCTTGACGTCAAGGTGGACCAGGCCTTGGCCGTGCAGGTGAGCCAGGGCAAGCAGGGTATCCCGCAGGTAGCCCCAGACCTGGGCCTCGGGCAGGCCGGTGCCCCAGGCCTCGCAGTGCTGTTGCAGGCTGGGCCCACACAGCTCCGTCTGCAGGTACAGGATGCCGCCCTCCTCCCAGGCTTGCTCCAGCCGCACACAGCGCGGGTGTTGCCCCACCTTCTCGTGGCCGCCGACCTCGGCCAGCTTGCGGGCCCGGTCCTTAGGGCCCCGGAAGGGCGACATGGAGCGCTTCACTGCGTAGAGCCGGCCGTCTTCCTTAGAGCGCACCTGGAAGGGAGGTGGCACCCACGAGTGGGACAGGAGGCCGGTGTGGCAGACCCTGTTGGGATTTCACACACATGGAAGGTGGAGCACGGCATCCGCCTCAGAGCCCACGTGTGCAGCAGCAAAGCTGGACGGGCCACTCTGAGAGCTCTACGTATTGACCCAAAAGGGCCTCGGGGCACGAGGCTACGTGGAAAAATCTGGCTACACGAACACGTGGCCAGCACGACCCACTGTGCAGAATACAAAAAGAGTCTGTCCGTATCTGGTCAACTCTGTGGAGACGTAGAGAAAAAGATCTGGAAGGAAGGACACCCACCCGAGAAGCACAGTGGTTTCCTCCAGGAAGAACCAGGCTAGGGGCCACGTTATTTGTGCTTTTTAACAACAAAATTGTCTCCAGGTAGTACTTACGTAAGGAAGATTGCCATTGTAAAGGAAATATAAAGGGAAAATATATTTTAAGGAGAAATAAAAAGCTGGTATGAAGGGTGTAGCGGGAGCACCTGCTGGCCTGAGAGGTGATGGGGCGTGGGGTGTGCGCCACGCAGAGGAGGCTGCCCTGGGGCAGGAGAAAGAGGCAACCAGGAGCCACTGTGAGGCGTGCCAGGCTCTGCACAAGGGGGTAGTGTTACTGGGGGGCGTGGAGGGCCTAAGTAGGGGGAAGGAGAAAGCAGCCAAATCAGCCCAGGAGAAGCAGGCTCTCAGGGGAGAAAAGGGGAGTGGGCTGCCCAGGACACCGTCCCCTCCAGGCGGGGGGGGGGGGGGGGGTTGGTGGCAGTAGCAGGCCTGAGGAATTGTCACCCCACTCACCTTGAAGACCTCTCCATAGGAGCCGTGGCCCAAGCGGCCAAGCCTCTGGAAACTCTGTTGGAAGAAGGACTCTGGCCGGCTCGGGTCATAGGAGGGGCTCTGAAGGGTCTCAGAGGCTTTGCCTTGGAATGTCACCCTCCGGGGCTGGGGCTGGTGCCAGCCCGGGGTCCGAGGAGGGAAGAGGCGGCTGATGGGGACGCTGCCCTTGGCAGGGGGCCGGGGCGGGAGGCTCCGACTGAGCCCTCCAGGCCTCTTGAGGGAGAAGCCAGGTTCTGCGTGGCGGAAGTAGGCTGGGACTGGAACGGGGGTGCCACTCAGGGGCGGAGGGGCGCCCTCTGTGGGCACAGGCATGGCCAGCACAGGAGGCCCTGAGGTGCACAGGACAGAGCGGTGTGTCCGCTCAAACAGTGCCTGGTCTTGTGGCCCCAAAGAGGCTCCGGAAGAGAGGTGCGTCCACTCTGCACACACGTTCCGCTTTAAACATGGAGGCCACAGGGACGAGCACCTGCAGGGAGAGGCAGAGGACAAGTATACATAGGCCTGCGTGCAGTCATCTGTACCTGGGAGGCCAGAGAAGCATAAACCACAAACCCCAAGGCCATGTCCTGGAGACTGCGCAGTCCAGCACAGGTTGGCTGAGAAGGGTTCTGGAGCCAGGGACCCCACAAGTATACCCCTGCCTCATCACAACCAGCTATTTGGCCTTAGGATATGCACCCTCTTCCAAAATCGTAAGGTGGAAATATTAATGCAGGCCCACCATCCCTTATCTCTAATTCAAAAGTGAAAACAAAGATCTGAAATCCAAGTTTCTCTCCTGTCTTCGTTCTCACAGCTGTGGGGCCAGCACTCACTCAGTAGACCTCCACCACCTGCAGCCACGGAGGGAGGCCCAAGTTCCAGGTGAGCGCAGCGGGGCAAAAGCCCTATCTGGCAGGAGGGCTAAGGACACTGGGGCCCAGCCACTCAAACCCCAGCAGGAGGTCCCCCACCGGGAAAGGCAGGCCGTGAAGGCCGGAGGCTACTGTTCCCACCCTGAGGCAGCAGTGTCGCTCAGACAGGCACCTGTGTCGCTGCCCTTAGCTCCAGAGCTCTGGCCCAGGGATTCAGTCTACAG